TATGGATCTTTATGTCATTTGCCTTTTTATAACCTCTCTAGTTTCATTTTCTCTGTCTCTCTCTCTCTCAACTCTATGTGGTAGCGATTTTCAACTGACTAAATTCAAGGACCCCTGAAACACCTTGTTTGCCTCCAGACCCTCCCGCAGGTATTTGATTTTTCCTTCCACTCCTGCTGGTCTTTGGTCTCTCAACTCTGAGTTTTCCCAGTCTGCTCCACTTACCCTCTCTGGGTTTGAATTTTGGTGTTCTACCTCTGTGCTCCTGTAGCATTCTGTGCTCACCTATGTAGCAGAGGAATCACATTTTTAAAAGAATTATCTGTTTTTCTGCTTCACTGGAATAAAAGCTACTTGGAGCCACTGAGGGACCATGTCTATCTTTGCACCCTATGCCTGTGCCTCTGGACACATACTTAGGAACTGATAAATGTCTGTTGAATGAATGAATAAAAGGTAGAATAAGTATTCTCACTACCATGTCTTCTTGTGATTTTATTTGGAATCCACTTTCTTCCAACATGAATTATTTGATTTTATATATTTCAGTGTTCTGCTAATGGATTTATGACCCAGACTGCCAACAACTCAAGCCAAGGCTTTTGTGGCACGTTGGGATCAGGAGTCAAAAATGGAGGGCAGGAGACCATTGAAATGGTGAAAGGAGGACACCAGACCTTGGAATCCTGCCGGGGGGCTGGGCACCATCACACCCTGGATTCCTGCAGGGGAGGACACATGGAGACGGACAACTGCAGATACACTTACTCGGAGTGGCACAATTTCACCCAGCCTCGTCTTGGTGAAGTGAGTTTCCCTAGGTGTTTTGACTCTAAAGTTTAAATCGCCAAGTGGAGAACAGTAGGAAATTGAAATTAACATATTTTTTCAGAAACTGCTTTTCCATTTTTTTTGATGTACCTTCTCTTGTTCTCTGGTCATTTTTTTTTATGCTCTTTGATTTTGTTACATTATTTAATTTAAAAGAGATTTTATTTCATCTGTCATATTTCACTTAATATTTAAAATCCCATAAAAATTGGAGGTATCCAATATCCTTCACTAAATTTTCACTTTTAGGTGTGCGTTTACCTCATGAACTCTTTTGAAATAGAAGAATGTGAAAAAAATTCTAGTTTCTCACAATCACAAACTTTCCAAATCAAATCTGTATTTCTCTGTGAAAACACAAACACCTGT